ATGTATAATATGTATTATTTAATGTTATATATGTATAATATGTATTATTTAATGTTATATATGTATAATATAAATTACAGTCACGTTATTTTTACGTGTTGTTTTTCTATTCTTTCCTGTCACGTGACTTTAGTTACGTTTTTAATTTTCTCTACATATACGACGAAAAGACTGTCTACAAATCACTTTTATTATTTACTCTCTCGATCTTACCGATTCGATTCAACTCGATCAACCAACCAACTAATCGGCAACGCGGAAAAGAGGCAACAATAGGTGCGATATATTCAACTCCAAACGTGCACTTCTTGGTACACATGCCTTTTTTAATATAGGATAAGTTGTAATATATTGAGACAAGTTCACAGATTAAAAAGAAAACAAATAAAAGGAAGACTGAATGCGTTTCTTCATTGTCTAGTAATTTTGTGTCGCTCGCCGTTATAGAAAATCGTTTCTGTTTTACGATATCGAGACTAATGGTCGCCTGCAGTATCGAAGAGAGCTTCAATCTTATGAAGAGTACATCGTGCTTTTATGAAAATTATTCTCATTTGAACGAAAGACCAAGTACTTCTTAACGCTTGGTGCGTAACAGTTTTCGCTTTTTTTGTTTGCCCTTTTATTTCTTGTTTTGTGTTATTTTCAAAAGAAACAAGTAACTAAATATTGTAATTCGAGTAGCGTAAAATGTCTGCAAAAGAATAAAATCAATGAAAAAACTTGCAAAAACCAAATTGTAGAAACTTAAAAATTTAATAAAATATACAAAAATGTTTATAAAATATATAAAAAAAATAATATTTCTGCGCTTCTTACAGTTAGATGTTCCATATTTTTTACCGCAAATTGTCAAATGCTTTTTACAAAATGCTTTGAATTACTACGCCAATTTCCTCGACAAAGCGCTAATAGTGTTGCGTTTTATCAAGTAAATTGCATCGACATGTATACGTAATGCGCGTAAATGGGCGTCTTTTAATTGTCGTCGTTCCTCGTACCAGAAACACGCTCGCTCTCCGCGTCCAAAGAGTTAACGCGAGACGGAGGATGACAGTGAC